GGGCTCCCCGCGGCGGGGACGCCCGGGGCCCGGCGCGCGGCCGCTCGCCCCTCGGCCCCCCGACAGCGGCGTCACCGCTGCCGCGGTGCGTGCGAGATAACCAGGGCTGCTCCCCCGCCGCCCCTCGACCAGCATCTTCCCCTTTGAAAAGGACAAATATAACCGAGATGAGTCAGTTCCTCCGAGCTCCCAGCCCCTGTACAATATGTAACTGGAATTTTTCATTTCGGCACTGCAGGGGAGCCATAACTGGAGAAGACAATGGAGTCAGCTACGACCCAAAAAAGCCATGCCAATTCTGTGCGCATGAGAAATAAAAACATTTTTTAATCTAAAAATAAATTAACTGTGACAGCAAGAGCAGCTCTGCCTGTACTCACTCTCAGCCTGCGCAGGACCGGTCCCCGCTCCTCGGCGCGAGGGGGGTTTGGGTGAATTCCCCGCTCTTTCTGGCCAGGTTGCGATTTGCAACAGCACCACAGCGCGGGGCAGGCACTCGGCACCTGCACCAGGAGCTGGGCTCGCTGCGTTGGCATCGGACCCAGCAGCAAATCCACAGAAGCCAGGGAAACCTCTTGGGTTTATTTTATAACTGCATTAGGGCAGCGAGGAGGGAAAAGAGGCTCCACCGAGCTCCAGACTTGGCTGGGCCAAGGCACTACACAAAGCCATAAAAACCATCCAGCTTCCCGTGATTAAATAAAAGCGTAGGCAGGCAAGCAAAGGCTTGACGTCTCCGCTTTGCAGGGGGACAGCTGAGCTGTGACCCCCCCCGAGGCCACGGAGCAGAGCGAGCGTCAGGGCAGCCCTGCCGAGCGCCTCTGCCGCCAGCCCCGCTGCTGGCTCCTAACGCGCGTTTCGGGGAGGCGTGGGCCGATTTCCACACCCCGAGAGCCGGGCCAGCGTCCTTCCCTGCTCCCCAAAACCCCTCTCGGATCCCAAATGCGGCGACCAGCTCCCACAAGCGGGCGAGCGAGAGACGGGCACCGAAGCCGAGCGCTGCCCTGGGGGCAGAGGGCAGAGCTACCCCCCAGCTCCATTGCGCTTGCAGCTCCTCTCAGAAACCAAGCGTGAGCACAGGGACAAGGCAGGTGACAAGGGACACCCCACGAGCCAAACCACGTCGGGACAACCCTCTCCTTTTTCTCAAGACGCTGTCAACACGGCTATATAAAATCCTACCCATCTCCCATTCTTTGTCCCAGTCTGCTCTCTTTTACAGGGCTGGCATCACTAGGTTTGAGGTTTTTTTGGTTTTTTTTTTTTTCCCCCTGACTTGACTCCTTGCTGGGTAACACTGAAACTTGAGGGCTATTTGATATTTTTAATCACTCAGCATGCATCAGAGTTTGGCAGAGGAAGAAAGTGGAGTTAAAAGAGAACAGAGACAGTTGGTGTTTGCCAGGGCTGCCTGTCGCTCCCACCAGCCCTCATCGCTTGGGCTGCGTTTCCCTCTGCTGGAAAGTCACAAGCGAAAGCCGACAAGGTCGATTTAGAAAACTATCGTTGGCCAGCAGGTCTTAACCTTCTGGGGTCTGGATCGTTCCTTCAAAGAGAAATGAAATTCCTGAACCCTTTTACCTCTACTGTACAAGTAAGGGTAAAGATGGTATACACGCATTTACCTTTTACGGACACATAGATGTATTTGCGTGAGCATATAAATATTATTGATAAGCCCTTGTAATACATCTCTATCTGATTTTGCTGGAAGATCCTGGCAATACCTACAGTGTTACAGAAATGTTTACTTTCTTTGCTCTGAACTTGAAGCAAAAGTTTTCTCACTTTGATTTGTTTTTTTGCGAGAGCTGCAACTTGCCTCTTGAAAAAACCTGTTGTGCGTGAGCGGTCTGATTTTCAGCAGGTCCAGGGGGGACGACTGGCACGGACAGATGGACACACAACTATCTGGTTTCTTATCCTATTCCAGACTCTCTACCAAGGATCCCTGGCCAGCGCTTCCAGGTAACGTGAGGCGCAGCGGAGTTTATCCGGCTCAGGTGCTGCTTACCTATTTGGGATAGAAAGTTTGCATCATCCAATTGACTACTTGGGCAAAAAGAAAAAAAAGAAAGAAAGAAAAAAAAAAGTTGATTAACAGTGCTTATTAAACCACGGAGTAATTTCAAGCCCACAGCAGTGCCCAGTGCCCAGACATTAACGTCCGGAGCACGAGAGAAGTCTACAGACGGCTTTCCAGCCGACTCCGGGTCCCGCTGCTGCCCTG